CAGGGGCTTAGGTGGAGAGCAAATGTTTTGAGAATGATGAGGGCAATGAATGTACAAATGCGCTTTACACAATTGATGTATGTATGGATTGTGATAGAGTTGTATGAGCCCCTAATAAAACGATTGATAAATGGATACATGAAGGAATGGACTTTCACAGGCCATTATGTCCACTAGAATCCTGCTCTTCAAAGCCACCAGCCACTCGCGTTACTCTCCTTCCTCTCTTGGTGGCTGTCACTTTGTCGCTGAAGCTTGGGGCCTCACACACACATTTCCAAAGGAACCTCATACCAGAGGATTAGGAAGGAGATAAGAGCTTAGACATTTCTTAGGAGCCCAATGCTTGATTTTTTCATTAGAGCCAATCTTATTACTATGAGACCATGAATATGTGTATGAATGACTGATTGTTTTTTGTTGTTGAAATTTACTTAAAGTTCTGTAGATATAGTTGAGGATGTATACAGTCACATTCAAAGAGGCATCAAACATTTTGTGGAAAATTCCATTGTTTTTCAGTTCTGGTTTTCCACAAACGTTTTGAAGCCAACTTGCATATTCAAAACACATATATACTGTTAAGGAAACAGAGATTATATAATAGCTGCTGTGTTTGGGCCTTGCTTGCATCTCACCATGAGAATCACTTCCCTCTGTTTGCATTTGCTGAACCGGCCGGATGGGATGGAAGATGTCATACTCAATTGAGTTATTCCCAGGCAGATTGAGTGGGAAATGCCTGATCATTAAATTCAGAAATTCCGGCGGTACAAGAGGAAAGAACGGGCAATGCCAATTCACGCAATTGAATCAAGTACTGTGTGACTAAATGTAGGTTGTGCCCCTGAGGGCCTCATAGGTCAACAGAGGAGACACAGACGCAGATAAATACAACATGTGAAATATTGTAATTGTGGTGCCGGGTGAGCCTAAGACTCCAGCGCTCATGGTCAAAGTGCGTATGCACCTGCTGAAGCATAGGATCATCGGCTCCCCACATTCCTGGGCTACATGCTGACCCCTTTCCCTGGGCCTGTGGGATGGGTTGGAGCAATGGGAGGAGGGGAGAGGGGATGTTTCTCATCTCCATGCACCCGGCTTGACAGATGACCTAATCTCAACAATTTGTTTAGGAATGGAGTTTTCTGGGATCGTGTTGGAGACAGGCAGAGATGTCAGCACAGTGAAAGAGGTAAGTGCATGGAAATCTAGAGAACTGATGTGTGGGCAGCTCTGAGAAATCCGCCGAGTGTAAGAAGCACACTCTTGCTTCTTCTGGCATTTGACGGTAGACAGCAAAGGGGCACCGAGAGAAAGGGGGAAGGAAACTATCGGCAGCCCTGGCTTCATTGAGCTGCTTACTCTGAAGACGGTAGCACCTCCATCTTTAGTTGCTGAGAGGATGGGAAAAGTGAAGAGTTCAACCTCTTCTGGAAGAAACTAACACTGATATTACAATTCATGCCAACCCTTTTCCTTACGTTATCCCGTCATTCTCCAAGATTACGGGGCATTGAAAGAAAGGCCAACCTTCTAGGACAGTGGCTCTCAACCTTCCTAACGCCTGGACCCTTTAATACAGTTCCTCGTGTGGTGGTGACCCCCCCCAACCATAAAATTATTTTCGTTGCTACTTCATCACTGTAATTTTGCTACTGTTATGAATCGGGCGACCCCTGTGAAAGGGTTGTTCGACCCCCAAAGAGGTCGCGACCCACAGGTTGAGAACTGCTGGTCTAGAATCAGGTGTGGATTTTCCTTGTTTTCTTTCCTAATTCAGGAAAGAGGCGAATGACAAGTTCACACCTTTGAACAAACCTTAAAGGCCGTTTTCCTTTCAGGGGGACCAGGTGATTGGCGTGAGCGGCTTCCACGCGATGGCCGAGGAGTGCATCACTCCCCAGAAGGTAGCCTGCCCTCCCACTGCCAATGTCGCAGACATCTTCTCCTTTCTTTTCGTTCTTGAATTCCCGCCCACCACTCCCCTTCCTCCCTGTTTTCGTTTGTCCTCCTACGGTCAGCTCTTGTTTCTTAGCTCCTTTCTTCCTGTTGCTCAGAGCCTTCTGTGTAGAGGTGTGTCATCCCGGGCACAGAGCCTTGCTTGTGTGGCGCAGCTTAATAAAGAGGGCATTTTGTTTTCTGAGTCCTGGAGCGGTTGGCTGGTTTCCAAGGAAAATCATGATTGGGTGGTTTTGGTGGAAACACTGGTGTGAGGTATTCAGCAGCATGTAATGGGCTTCTCTTGGGAACAAGATAGCCCTGGGAAGGGAGCCAGCCTGGGTGGCCTGATAGGGACAGGCCGGATAGGAATGGTGTCTCCTAGTGGTGAACAATGCACAAGCTCTCAGCCCAAGGGGCTTTATGGAGACCGTGGTTTCGTTCCATTCTCTAGAAATTGCCTTCCTTCTGAGCCCCATTGCAAGCCAGAGGATTTTTGATGCCCGTTACACCCAGGATGTGAGCTCTCCCACGCCTTGGCCTTGGTTTCCTCCTGGCTCGGTTACTGGCATGTGTTTCCCTTTGCAGTCACTTAGGCAAGTCCTACTATTTACTGAGCACCCTCTATGACCAGGTACATATGCTTAATTCCTGAGCGGCCGTTATCTCTTTTTATAGACACTGTGGAAGATTCCAGAAAGCGTGCCTCTGCGAGAGGCTGCTGTCCTGCCTGTGTCTTATGGCACTGCTATTTTGGCCCTGGAGCATCGGGCCTGTACCCAGCCTGGGTGAGCATTGTGGGGACAATAGAAGCCTATAGGTATCCTTCTCTTTGGGGAGTTGCTACCAGGAGCTTGCTTCTCTCCTTCTCTGTCTTCCTGTTAAGCGCAGTTTGCCTGAGGATAGGCTAAGGGGAAGTGTTGTCTGAGGTTACTGTGGGCCACCTTTCTGCTTCAGAGGGAGTGGTAGATTGTGAATCTTGCTAATGTTATTTTGGGAAATGATCGCCCTCAAACTCACCACTCTGAAGCAGGCTTCTGCTCCCAGGTCATGTAAACTTCTGATTCAGTCCCCAAACAGAGAGCCAGAGAGCCTGCCTAGCATTCAGGAACCATATATCCATCCTCTTATACTCACATCTTAAACACCGTTTAGACAGGGGAGACCTCATTTCAGCTGGGGCCATTCCTTCAAGAAGAGGGGAGAGGGAGAAGACTATTCATTTGCTGCCATACAACGCTGTGGTAAGGTCACCCCAAATCAACAGATGCTTCTCAGAGATTGATCCTCAAACTTGCAGGAAAGTCAGGATGGGGGGAGGAGAGCATGTATGTATCAAAGGAACCATTTACATTTCTGCTGTTTGGTAAGTGGGGAGGAGCAAGCTCCCATAGGGAAAAATTGCTTAACAATATTAAATAGAACCCAAGAGGAGAATAAACCTGGCACTATGTTCCTAATGAGACATGTTTGACTTAGTTTCTATCCAGCTTTGGTGACCAAGGCCATGTGCTATAAACTACCAGGACCTTGTCCTTTCAAGGTGCACAGCATCCTGCATGGGCCACACCAGAAGGCCGTGACGTGGAAACACCACTAAGTGAATTGGGCTTTACCTCAAACTTACCTGTAGCCCTTGGGCTTAAGACTGAAATTCTCTAGTGTGAGAAGAAGCAGATGACTTCCACCTCAAGGTTATGGAATTGGTGGTCATTGAACTGTGGTTGAGACCCTTGCTTTGACGAGACCCAGTGACCCAGGACCCCATATATTTCAATGATCTCCTTGCCTTACTATGAAGGCCTCTAATGTGAACCCGAGACATAGGTAAACCATAGATATGTGAATGGATTTTGGGTTCCCACTTAATTATAGCCCCAATCTTAGAGCATCTAGTTCTTATGACATGGCCCTGCTTGATGCTTGCCCTCATGAAGAGATCACTGAAGACATGGCTGCTACAGCAAAGTGTAGCGAAGAAAGAAGATGAGCTAAACTAGCAAAAAGCATAGCATCTGGGGTCTTAAAGGCTTGTCTTCAAACAAGCAGCCATCTAAATAAGGTGTCATTCTAAGTTCACATGGAAGAAGCACATCCGCCGGTGTGGTCCAAGGCTTCTAAATAATAAAATCCAAATCCCAAAGAGGGGATGATATCAGAGGTTAAATTGTGAACACTTGGTTTGCAGAAGGCTGTGGATGACAGTGGGAGCGTAGAATCCATGTACAGAGTCCCCACATGGATTGAGCCTCCAGTGACTTCCTTCTGATCATAGTGGAGGAATGTGAATAGCCTTGCTGTCAGCAGAGAGCATTGTAAACTCTATTATGGCACATGTAATTAGGTCAAAATATAATACTTTATCATTAGATCTCACTTTTGACCCATCTTAAAGTTGTTTTATATTCATATATAAAAAACGTGAAGGGGAAATGCATGTGGATTAAGCCTCTGGCCATGCATCGGGAATGTAAATAGCCTTGCTATCATGCAGGACACAATGGCAAGTGGATTCTTACAGAACTAGTTAGGCTCAAATCTCACACATTATCATTTCTCCCTTTAAGCCCATTTTAAATTAGATCTGTTTTAAAGTACTTTTTGCTTTGTTTTTGATTGAAGATTTTCTCTGGTTTATTTTGTTGTTGTTTTGCTGGGTTTTTTGTACATATATATGTTTTCCAGTACATGAAATCTAAAATAGATAAATCTATAGAGATAGAAGTTGGATTAATGCCTAACTGGGGGTGTGGAGGGAAACGGGGAGCTAGTTAAGTAACAGTGAGCGCAAGGAGGAAGAAAATGTTCTAGAACTGATTGTAATGATGATTGTATAGCTCTGTTTAATATGACCGGACTATTGAAGTGATATGTGAATTATATGTCAATAAAACTATTTTAAAAAATCCCAAACAACCCCCTGACCCATTCTGAAGAAGATCGCATAGAAAATGTTAAACTTGAGGGACTTGGTGTGGTGTCAGCCACTCTACCCTGGTTTTAATGGGACGCCTCTAGTCTTTGTCTCGCAGCGAGTCTTAGTTGGATGTGCCCAATGTGAGTATTTCAAACACAAAAGTGCTGGGGTGTTCTACTTTCCCTGAAGCATACGAATGTGGGGTCATCAACATTTCTCTAGAGAAATGGAATGACAGCTCATGCCATTTCCCCACAGCCTTTTGGGACCCCTTCTTCCCCCCACTCCCGTCCTCCCTCCTGCCCTCCTTGGTGAGCTTCGGGACTTTCCGTGGAGGTGGGTTTAGTTCACCAGTGGCCATCACCTTCTAAAGTCTAGCCGTGCTTCGAACGAGCAGGGTTTAAGGACAGAGTTTCTGGAGCAGACACTGGAGTGGAAGCTCAAAGGGAGAGTCGCACCAACACAGAGGAGAGGCTGCGGGGACCCAGGGATCACTTTCCTGGAAGTCTTCACGACCAGAGCAGGTTAGCATGTGGCCAGCAGTCACACCCACCACCCAGCCCCGGATCCGGAGACCGGGTGCACACGAAGGGACCCAGGGGGCTTCTGCGCGTTCTCTCCTTGCTGCCGAGCATTCCAGCTCTTACCATGCTCCTGGACTCCCTCCTCGGATGACCTGTGAAGGCATGTGGAGTAACATTGTCTCTCTCTGGCACAGAGAAACCGTCCTCGTCACGGCCGCAGCGGGAGCCACAGGCCTTGCAGTGATAGACGTGGCAACAAACGTCCTTCAGGCCAAGGTATCTGCATGCTTAGTTCTCCATTCAGCCCTCCCCTCACCTGTTTTCAAATATGGGAGACAGTCATCCATTTATTTAAAATCATGCGCAGGCACACAATCAAAACTAGACTTGCTGCCATCCAGTCAATGCTGGCTCATAGCGACCCCCTGTGGGTTTCCGAAACAGTGACTGTTTCTACTATTAAAAAAAATCCCAAACAACCCCCTGACCCATTCTGAAGAAGATCGCATAGAAAATGTTAAACTTGAGGGACTTGGTGTGGTGCCAGCCACGCAACCTTGGTTTTAATGGGACGCCTCTAGTCTTTGTCTCGCAGTGAGTCTTAGTTGGATGTGCCCAACATGAGTATTTCAAACACAAAAGTGCTGGGGTGTAGAAAGCCCAGTCTTTCTCCTGCAGAGTTGCTGGTGGTTTTGAACTGCTGAATATACAGATCGCAGCCCAACATTTAACCACTGCACCATTAGGGTTCCTCTTTGCACAGGCATGGGGGGCATCAAGTCCCCTTCTACCCAGGTAGGGGTAGGGTCTTGCAATCTATGGTAAAACCTGCAAAAGCCAGAACCTGTGTAAGGTGGAACCTGTCAGAGGAGGAAAACTCAAGTATTTCTCATTAAAAAGAGTTGCAGGAAAGTGGTAAGACTGCATCTTGTCAAAGACAGAACACTTGTGAGATCCGGGAAAACCAGGCAGACTCTTTGCGTTGTGGTGCTCACACAATTCACTCTACTTGCTTACAGGCTAGTGAGGGGACTGAGAAACCCAACCCTCACCCTTCCAGTTACTAGACTCTAGCAAGATCCAACTGACTTCGCGGCCTTTGAAGATGCTCTTCCTCTACCTGTAATACTCTGAATGTGCTTCATATTTAAATCCAATCTCATCGCACCGGCACTTCTCTTTCATAGTCCACAGCTCAGTCTGTGCTTATTCTTTCACTTGTATCGTCATTGGATGGATGTTTCTTCCCTAGTAGACTGTCAGCCTCATGAAGGCAGGGGAAGTGTCCTTTTGCCTCATTATTACAGTCCAGGCATCCAGCTGGGAATATGCCATGACTATTTCTTGAATGAATGAAAGACTCAAGTCTCTGCAGTGATAGGCTATGGACGTCAGGCTGTGGCTGTCAAAGAAAGAGGTAGCTATTTAAGCTGACTTCAGAAGAGTTGGTACCAGCAAAATAGGGGATAGAGGGAGGTGGGGTCCTGTCTAGTGGTGAGAGAACATATTAGGAGACAGAGACATGTGAGCTAGCATGAGGCATCCTGGGAATTACACAGTAAAAAAGCCTATCTGGAGCCAAGGATCCATGGAGGGAATGGTGGATGGTGCCACTGGAGAGGAGATGATGGGCCTTGGGTAGACTTGAAGAATTTGAACACTTATTGGAAGCAACAGGGAGCTATTGAGGATTTTAAGTGGGGAAGTGCTGTGACCATCTCTGTATATTGTACATGTCACTCGGCAGTGGAGAATGAGGGGCAGGCAGATTCTTGGAGCAATCCAAGTCTGAGATCATGATACCCGAGACAAGGCTGTGTAGATGGTGGTTGAGAGGTGGGAAGGTAGAAGAAAATGCAGAATATGGTGCCTGGAGAACAGCCTCATCTACTTCGAGGAACGAGGGCTCTGAAGTTCTCCCAGGGTCAGATTCTAGGCCTGCTTTAGCTTTGTGGCATCAGTTCCTTTGTTGTGACAGGACACTTTCTTTGTGGGGCTATTGTGGGGATTGCATGCGCAGCGTGCCTATTAGGAAGAAGGTCAGAACCTCCTACTAGAAGCATTGTGTTATTTCTGTAAATGGTTTGTGCTCAGAGACTGACTGAAAGATTGGTGGTTTGAATCTTCTGTAAGGCCACAGACGTTGAAAACCCCATGGAGCAGTGTTACGCTGATACTCCGAGGGTACCATGACGACCAGAGGCGTCTATTATTATTAGGCATGGAGGGTGAAGGAGCCAGCTAGGTTAACTGGTGGATCTGCCGTGTACTCAGCCTGAGATACACAGGAGGGAATGCTGAGTTCAGGGTTGGGCGTGCTGAGCGAGCGCTTCCTGTGGAACATGCTATTAGAGGTCCCAGAGACCACTGGACAGACAGGTGTGGAGCTAATTAGATCGGCCTGGAATTTCTCCAGGTGGTGTCTCTGTTTCTCACTTTAAGTTCCTTTTGGGGAAGACGTGTGCATTCTGAAGGTGGCTTCTCACAGATTATTAGCACATTGCACACTCCAAAGAAGGGCTAAGTAGTCTCACGGACCGTCCACTCACATTTCTCGGAAGATACCCTGCCTCTTAAAGTATTTGTGAGGCCAAGAAGAGAGAAGAGGCAGCTTATTCACATCAACCCCAACTGCATGTTTCTCTGTTTTCTCCAGCACCCCCCCCCACAGCCCCCACCTTCCCACAAAATCCATCCAAGTAACGTTTCTGTGCCACCTACTGGATTAGCCATTTTGATAACACCTTCCATCCACAGATTTCATATCACTTTCCAAGTGCTTCCACAGCAATTATCTGACACTCGCGCCTCACAGCACTCCTGAGAGGGAGGTGATGTCAGTATTTACCATCCTTTGTCACAAGTAATGAAAGTGAGACATCGTGGTGTGCTTCTGTCTCCCCCAAGGCCTGGTGGGAATCCTGGCACTGTCCTGAGGCTCCCGACTCTAGGTTGGCGTCTGCCCACTGATCTGCCCACTGAGGCGTGGGGTGCTAATGGCCTTCTTAGGGAGCCTCAGCTAGCTGAAGATTCCACCTGGGCATGAGCCAAGGGTAGCTTTTCGTTTCAAGTAGTTCTGGATGGATATGGAATCTTCGAAGCACAGAGATCATCTTGGGAGCCCTGTGGGCACAGTGGGTTAACCCAGAAGGCTGCCAAGCAGAAGGCTTTGCATGCCCTTGCTGCTCCCGGCAGGAGGTGTGGCAGGGTGCCTCTGTGAAGATTTACAGCTCTGGGGGCAGTAGTTCCCTGTCCTTCCTGTTGAGTCACCGTGCATCAGACGCTGGCAATGGTTTGCGTTTTTAGACATTCTCAGTGTTTAGATGCAAATTTTTGAGCACCAGTTTGGGGCCCGAGTGCTTCGATCTCGTGGGTGCTGCTTGGTGACTAGGTGCCTGGGTGATAAGGAGCTGCTGTACTCCGCCCCATGGGTCTGGGGCGCTGTGAGTCAGAATCAATTCTGTGGCCATGGGTCCGTGTTTGTGGGAGATGCTTTAAGGAGTTGCTGAATTTGAATACATGCCTGCTCCCCCAAAGGGTGGTGATTTGAACCCACCCAGGGGCTCCTCAGGAGAAAGAGCTGCTCGTCTGCTTCCACAAAGGCAATCATCATGACACGTCTCTGGGGCAGGTCTGCTGTCATGTAGTTAGCCCGGAGCTGGCAATCCACTGAGCAGCACCGAACCACACCATCTGTACTTTAGACTGCCTGGGCAGCACAAATGGTTAATGATTACCTCCAGAGGTGATTTGGAAGAAAGACCCGGCAATCTACTGCTAACCATTCCCAGCCATTGAAACTCTACTCTGACCCCTATGAGTTCTCCAGGAGGTGGAATTCACTCCGTTTGATGTTAGGCAATGTATTGCTGCCTGTCACTTCTCTGGAGACCTTCAAAGCCCAGACTGCCCCACAGTCTGGCACACAGCCAACTGTGCTGTCTGTGCCCGGCCTCAGATACTGCTTTCCTCGGGGGGGTGGATGGAGGGAAGCAGCTCCGGTTCTAGAGTCGGGCAGCACTGAGGATAAACCGATGATCTGCTGCACGCTAACTAGATGAGACTGGGTTACTCTCCTGGCCTCTTTTGAGTCTGTGTCTCCATCTACAGAACCGGAGGCCCTCCACCTCCCCCGTAACACTCTTATGAAGGTTAAATAACATACAGGATTGCATATGTATAATTGCATCCGTTTGTTTTCCGAGTGCTTGATATGCAGTGTTCCATTTAGCTCTTAAAATGAGTCTTATTCTGTAAATCTGGGAACCGAAGCCCAGAGAAGCGGAGAGGCAGTAATGAGAAGAAATACATGGACTTTGGTGATAGGTTTCTTGGTTTGGATCCCAGATCTGCCTCTTGATAGTTATGTGACCAGGGGCAAGTTACTTAACCTCTTGTGACTCACTTTCTTCATCTATAAAAAAATGGCATAATAATAGCGCTCACTACAAAGGAGTTATTAATATATGTACAATACTTAGTATATTGTTGGCCCTCTGTCAGTTTTTTTATTGCCTTTCTAATGATGTTGTAACAAAATACCACAAACTAGGCAGCTTCTAACAACAGCCGTTCCTTGTCTCTTTATTCTGGAGGCTAGGGGCCTGGAACCAGGGTGTGCAGAGCTGGGTGCTCCCTGAAGGCGCTGTGGGGAGTGGCTCCCCTGCCTCTTCCAGCTCCTGGTGGCTCCTGGCAGCCTTTGGCACTGTTTGTTTATAGACGCACCGTGTCATTCTCTGCCTCTGCCTTCACACGGTCATCCCCTTTGTGCATCTGTGGATCTGTATCTATTTTCCTCTTTTCTAAGGAGGCAGGTCATCTTGGCTTAGGGCCTGCCCTCCATATGACCCCATGTTAACTAATGACATTGATGAAAGTCTTTTTGCCATACAAGGTCACTTTCACATTTACTGGGATATAGGACCTCCATGTATCTTTTTGGGGGACACAGGTCAATCCATAGGAGTTATTATTAAATGATTTGTGTAAGGTAGCACAGCTATTCATTGGCAGGCCCAAGATTGAAACACTACATTTGTTCTACTTCAAGACCATTCTCTTATATTAGCTTTACTCTCTGGGAAGCCTTTCTTGGTCTTCCTTGTCCTAGATCTAGGGTGGATACCTCTGGAACCTGCTGAACGACCCCCATCACACTGCTGCCCCTTGCTTCTTTGACACTGAGCTTGGTATGAAGATGGTATTCCTACTGGTTGACTCAGAGTAGGTGCTCAATACAGGATGGATTTAAGTTGTATTTTTGGAGGAGAGTTTGTGTCTCCTGAACCATCTCCAGCTTGACTTATTGGGGTTCTAGGAATGAGGACCCCAGGATGCTGAATATACCCTGTAGGTATATGTTGTGGACCACCACATACCTTGTGTTGTTCCTACAGGTCATAGCTGCAGCTGGGAGCGAGCAGAAGTGCCAGCTAGCCATGCAGAGGGGTGCACAATCCAGTGTGAACTACAGCCAGGGCAGCCTGAAGGAGGCAGTGAGGAAGCTGGTGGGCAGCTCCGGGGTGGACGTGGTCATCGACACGGTGGGAGGAGATGTCTTCCTGGAGGCTCTCCGCAGGTGAGGGCTGGAATTTGGGCTCCGTGGGAAGCTCTCTGCACCTCTGGCCTTCCTACTGCCTCGTCTTTGCAACTCCTCCTGCAGACGCATCCGTGCCCATGAGAACAGCTGAAAAGGAATAGAAGCAGAGGGGAAATGGGGAAAAACTTAAATATAGCAAAAACAAGATACTCAATGGGAAAATATCCAAAAAGCCACTGCAGACATTCAAATACTTAGAAATTATACCCGGGCTAAATTTGGCTCTGGCAGCCCCCACAAACTGTTTGACGTACATGGACGGGAGGATTCTGGACATCATTGTCCAGATGTTAGAAGCACTGGGTGGTTGTCCCCTTCCACCCAGGTCGCTGTGCATGGAGGCACAGGCTCCGCTCACCTGGCTGGTTTCTGAAACAGTGAGCAGCGTGGGCATTTTCTTAATTGCTTTTATTTAAAAAAAAAACCACTAGCAAGACCACGGGACTGCTGTATCACACCACTTCTCATGTCTATTCTTCACCCCGGACTCCTCCGAGGTGCTCTGAACTAGCAGTGTGAATTCCCGGGTGAGCCCCGTGGACATCATTTAGTTCGTGGCTTCTCTGAGTTTAAAGCTGAAGCAACAAAAGCAGAAAGAGCAGCCTGCCCACAGAAGGCACAGTTGGCTCTGTAGCCCCTCTGTCAGCAGGCGGCTGGTTTCCTTGCTTGATGACCTGTGTGCTGTATTGACTCAGAAACACAGGAAAGGGTGGGTGGATGATGGAGAGCCGGGACGGAGTGCTTGTGAAACTCTCCCCTTCTCTGGCCTCCCTTCGGGTTTCTGGACAATTGTGTTTTGACAACAGCTTTTCATTTCTCTTCTAAAGGCTGGGTGGGGGGAGGGGGGAATAAGTAAACAAGTGATTTTCTATCAAAATTTTTTCCTCAGTTTATTTTCATAACTCATGACTTAAAGAGACCCAAAACCAAACCAGCAGCTGTGGAGTTCACGCTGACGCGTAGTGGCCCTTAGGTGTTGGAGGAGTGCTGTGTCTTGAAGGGTGTTCTATGATGGTGATGTTTTTTCAGAAGATGATAAAGGTTTCTTTGCAGAGGTACTTCCACTTAGCTCACACTGTACGGTACTTTCACAAGGTGCTCCATAAAGATTGTGAAGTTCTTATCCAAAGTACTCCTCCAAGGGCTCTGGTGATGTAGTGCCTAAGCGTTGGGCTGGGATCCGCATGGTTGGCAGTTCAAAACCACCAGCAGCTCTGGGGGAGAAAGACTGCGCTTTCTATCCCCAACAACAGTTAGACAGCTGTAGTCGCGGAAACCCCCAGGGGTCGCTATGAGTCAGTGCTGACTCCATGGCAGTGTGTGGGAGAGGAAGTACTCCTGCGGAGCATGTAACTTAGAGGGTAGAGCTGAGTTAGAAACGCTAGAACTCAACATAGACCTGAAGTCAGTCTTTGAGAAATGCAAACTGACCTTCATTCAAATGTTTTAATTATATTCTTAGTCTTGTGTCAAACTGAGTTGTCTTAAGTTATGGAAAATGGCATGATCTTCACTGAGACCCCATGGGGGCCCACAAAGTATTTTAGGTGATTAAATAGACAGTCCTTACTGTAAGGTGGGCCCCCCTGTAAAACTGGTGAGTTGCTCTGACCCATAATGCTTTGGGTATGTCTTATTGTTATATTTTCCTACTCAGGAGCCCAACGTGCCAAAAGGACAGATCACCTGACAATTTGCATGGTCAAGGGGAGTGAAAAGCTGTGGGTCTCATGTATAATCCTTTAACAATTTTCATAAACACTTATGTAATCAAACATTTGCCGTTTCAGTATTTTTTTTGCCGTACATACAGTTCAGTGACATGAATCATATCCATCTTATTATTTAGTCATCACCATGATCTGCTTTCAAATTCTTCTCTTCCCTTTAACAGAAGCTCGGTGCCCCTTATGCAGTACGGCCCCCTTTCCTTTCCGTAGAAATGGCATGGCTACACAGGGGGAAGGAGACCCCAACGCCACCCCAGTTCTGGGCTGACTTCTATGAGACCGAGGTCAGCTGTGTCCCCCACTTTTATCCTTCTTTATCCTATTCTAATACCAGCCATCTCTCCCACGGCACTCTACTTCTCTGATGGGTCTGACAATCTGTTGAGGTGGCCACCAAGAACTTCCATGCCTCCCACTGGTCCTTCACCCCCGGGCCTCTGCCCTGCTTAAGCAAAAGTGACAAAGCTCCTTGAGCACTGAGAAATGCCTTCAAGGGCACCCAATCTAGGAGGCAGCCTCCTGCCTGAGGGCACCCAACTTTACTCCCGTATTGGACCTGCTCTGTTTCATGGCCTCTGCTGCCGTCCTTCTCCACGGATATGCTCTTGTCACGGCGTTTCTTTCTGCTGCTCAGGGGATTCTCTTTCCTGCTTCGGAGATGGCTCAGGTTAGTCTCAGTGGAATGGCAAAATGGACCAATTCCCTCATTAGAATCCACTAAAACTTATTTGCATGCCCTCACGCACTCATTAGGCAGGAGTGAAGACAGCTATGGATGGAAGGGCCATACCAAGTAATTGCACTGCACGTAGGTCTCTACACACTGACCAATGCTGCTTGTTTCCCATATGTGGGGCCATATAATAGTTCATCCTCTGTGAGCGAGTGATTTCACTCAGCATAAAGTTCCCAAGGGTTAAACATGTGGTAACACGTACCAGGACTTCCTTTTCCTTCTGACTAATCGTCCATTGCATCGAGGTACTAACATTTTGGTTTTGTTTATCCAGTCATCTGTCGTACTTTTAAAAACAAACAAACAAACAAACAAAACATTTATTGTGGTTTTCCATTTCCACGAACCCGTCTTTCCTGTCCCTTCTTGCCTTCAGGACTTTGTTTTTGCGCAAATCCATTAAAAAAGAAATTTTTTTCCTTCTTTCTCTCTCCTCAGCTTGGCGTGGGAGGGCAGGATTGTGGTGGTGGGATTTGCTGGAGGAACCATTGCTTCAGTGCCAGCCAACCTTCTGCTCCTGAAGAATGTCTCTGCCATGGGGCTGTACTGGGGCCGGTACCAAGTCGAGAACTTTTCCATCATCTCCAAAATCCTGTCCTCGGCGCTTGAGTACTGCCAGCAAGGGCGCATCCAGCCCCACGTTGGAGCGCTGTTTAAGTTGGAGGAGGTAAGATGCTCTGAAGGCTAGTGCACGTAGACAAGGCCAGGAGTTCACCTGGGTCAAGCTACTGCATACTGTATCTAGGATATGAGAGATCTTACTCTCCTGGAATGAGAAGATGGACAACACAACCTAGAATCAGGGGTTATCACAGGCTACGGAGGACAAGATTTCTCCCGGTCCTCTGGTCGGACACCCGTTGCCAGACTGAGTGAGCCATGTGTGAGGTGGAGTCTGCAGGGGCCTGCGGAGGAGCTGAATTTGAGGACACTCCCTGCAGCACTAGCATCTCAAATAGAAGGGATTTATGGTAGTTTGGAAAATAATTCACAAGTGTTGATGTGAACCCTGAACTCCCCAGCATACAAGCCTCAGAAGGAAACACTTAACTTGACCTTTGATTTTCAAATACACTTTAAAGTGCAACCAGATGATTTAAGCTGAGGTTCTGTGAACAGAACACTAAATCATGGCGGGTCTCGTGAGACTGGAATTCTTCCATTAGTTGCTGTGGTTAATTTGGTTGACTCTTCACTCCCTCTTCCCCTTCCCCCACAGTCCCATTAATGTGGCTTAGACTTCCTTCAGAGTGTCATTGCGTGCACTCGTATGCACATGTGCAGTGGAGCTGTAGATGTCAATGGGAGGCCTCAGGGTGGGGTGGAGCGTTTTCATTATTGATGGGAGCTTAATTTATTTTAACGTTGAAAATGATTTGGGTAAAGAAGTGGATTATGCGTCAGGCTGTTAGCCACAAAGTCAGCGGTTCTAAACCACCAGCCACTCCTCGGGAGAAAGACAAGGTTTTCTACTTCCATAAAGAATTACAGTTTTAGAAATCCACAGGGACTGTTCTCCCCCGCCCCGCGGGGGGCTGGGAGTTGGAATCGGCCCGATGGCAATGGAGAGTTGAGAAACTCAAGTCAGCCGTAGAAGGAAGAGCTGCTTTGTCCACGTGCAGGTTAGGGTCTCCGGGCTCTTCGTGCCAGAGTTCACTGCTTGCAGCTTTGCATTTTCAGCCTGTGGTTTTCCTGTCACGAGGCAGATTCTTTTCAAGCATAGTTCATTTTCTCATATCTTTACTATGTCAGCAAAGGAGGAAGTATCCGGGTGGCCTGGTTAGCTGGTGCTGCTGTAGCAGAGATGTCACAATTGGGGGTTTGCTCTTTACAGTTTGATTGATTTTGTTGGCATTGCTGAGAATGGACACAGCAACACCACCGTAACTCCACCGTCTTTCCAGGCACCGATCGGTCACATGGTTCCAGCCTCCTCCGCCATTACCATCAGCTCACTGCTGCCAGAAGTTCCTGTCTGGTCTTTCAAGGTGCTGTTGTCCCTTTGAGCCCATGGAGCTGGTTCTTGAAAGAACACTGCTCCAGGCAGACCTCTTTTATTAGTCAAGACAAACTCCTATTTTGCTTAAGAACGTCAGCGGTTATTTTGGGCAGAAAGAAGATCTCAGGACAGCAGTTTCAGGGGATTCATTCCTTTCCAAGGTTCCGGAAAGTCTAGTGTTCACGACAATTTAAAATTCTATTCAGCACTTTCCCCTCGAGGTCAGGAGTCTTCTATGGCATTTTTGGTGAGGATCTTCAGGAGCGGAAGTCGAACACACCCGATTCTGCTCTCAAGGCAAAGGAGGCACTTGTTCACGGAGGCCGTTAGCCACACACTCCCACGGGGTTCCTTTTTCTTACCCTTGCTTCAGACGAATAGAAACCGGTTGTTGTGCCTTGAATTTGCAAGCTTTATTTTTCAGTTATTTATTTGTCTTTCTCTTTTTTTGTGTGTGTAAGCTTTTAAGACCCCAGGCACTAGGTAACCAACTAGGAGGTAGAACAGAACCAAGTCCCATGAGGTGTTTGGTGTACATAAGCAATCTTAGCAACTACTCTCTCTCTTTTGAAGGTCTGTTTGCCACTTCAACTTTTTATAGGTGTGCAGCATATTGACAGCAAGTACAGTAATTGGCTGTGCAGCTCCCTCCTTAATCAATGTGATTTTCCCACACTGCTTACCCCTCTTTTTCTTCTCTCCCACACCCCTGCTAATCACAATAAGCTTTGCACTTCATACATTTGCCTTTTCTTTTTTGTATGAGGTCATACAACATTTGCAAATTGAGCTCAGTATGATATCTTTTAAAAAAATCACTTTATTCGGAGATCTTACAGTTCTTATCACAATCCATGCACAATATGATATCTTTAAATTCCACCCACACTGTGGCATTTATCAAGTTTTCATTTCTCCTCTGGGCTGAGTAGGAGCTGATTGTTTGTATGTACTACCTTTTACTTTTTCATTCATCAGTGGATGGGCATCTATGACCTTTCCATCGTTTGCTCTTGTGAATAGTGCTGCAAAGAACTTTGGTGTGCAATTCTCTTTTTGAGTCTCTGCTTTCAAGTCTTTTGGGTGTGTTCATAGGAGGGGACTGGCTAGGCCATGTAGTGGACTGTGTGTTGCGCTGCTAACTGCCAGACCAGCAGTTCAAAACCACTAGCTTTTCTGTGGGAGAAAGAGGAGGCTCTCTACTCCTGTAACGAAGTACGGTTCTGGAAACCCCCAGGGGCAGTTCTACCCTGTCCTATAGGGCCACTCTGAGTTGGAATTGACTCGATGGCAGTGCACTTGCAGATTTTTATTGTAGTCCGTTGATAGTTTTTAGGAACCACAACACTGTTTCTTGCATTGGCTGTACCATTTGCAGCCCTCCCATACGTGGGTAATGGTTCCAAGTTCCATAAATCCTGAGCTGTGTTTATAATGTTCTCTTTTATTTATTTATTTTTGATGTTAGCCAGCCGAGGGGGAGAGGAATAGCATCTCACCATGGTTTTCACTAGCTTCTCTTGGAGCCTAGTGATACTGCCTATCTTTTCCCGTGTTTGGTTGGCATTTGAATGTCCTCTCCTTTGCCTATTTATGCGAGGGTTATTTCTCTTTTTGCTATTAAGTTTTGAAATTTTTAATGTATGTGGTTATTAGATTCTTGTCTGATATATGGCTTTCCAATGATAGTCTATCGGTCAGTAGCTTGTCTTTTTGACTTTTTTTGTGTGGCTGAAGTTATTATGATAAACAATAGAAATTAAACACTTTTATGATGTCTCATTTATTTATTTGGCATTTTGCCGCTTGTGATTCTGTTATGGTATTAGATCATCCCTCGTTGAACGTGAGGCCTGACAGTGTTGTCCTTGCTTGTGTGAGTCCCCTCATGGTTTTCACTCACACATTTATAGCCTTCAGTCACCTGGAGCTTGTTCTTGTGAATGATGTGAGTCAAGGACCCTGTTTCACTTACTGAGGAGACACTGTCCTTACCATCAAATGGTTTTAGCCTTCTTGGCAAAATGAATTGACCACAGATGGGCAGGTTTATAGCTAGACTCTCAATCCAAGTCCATTGGTTTAAGTGCCCATTGTTATGCCAGGGCCAGGCTATTTTGATTAACACCCAAGCTGTTAGGTTTCTGGGGAGGTGTACCTCGGTTGTTGCTTCCCAACGCTGAAAGAATTCATGTGGCAGAAGCACTTTTGTGATCCAAGTCACGTTTATGAGGGAGAGGGAAGTTTCAGGTATCACAGTCTCAGAAAGTACACGCTGTCCCTGGAAAGCTTGCGGCCGCGTGGGGACCGCACAAGCGTTCCCGTCTGAAGCTGGCCACCTTAGGGGAGCGCGAAAACACGCGTGGAAGGAATACGGGACCAGGAGAGCAAAGCCACGCTTGCGGAACCCAGAACAGGAAATGCCAAGAGAGCCAAGAGAAGGCGGCCCAAGAGGGCACGCAGACGCTTAAGCATCACATGCCACACACGTGGGAGAGATTCCCACGCCTCTCTTGCAGAGCACACCTGGAGAGAAAAGGCCCTGCCAGCTGATGGACGCTAGCGCAGGCCTTTTGGGGAGACAACCCCCCTTTATCCCTAATCTAGCTACCTTTCAAAACCACACTACTGCCGGGTAGTCCGGGCTGACTTGCAGGGTTTCTGAGGCTGGATGTGCCTCCGGAGGCTGACAGTTCATCTCTCTCCCACAGAAACGGACTTGGCAGCTAGCGCCGATACTCAGTGGACAGGAGCACCGGGCGTGCTTCCTGCTCAGTACGTTGTAAAATGAGGGACTACCAGTTCTACTTGGCTCTTCTCTCTCAGCATGGTTTTTCGCTGCTCAAAACCACTTGCCTTTTCATAGAAAATTGAGTATTGGTTAGTTAAATTTTTTTTGTAAAAAGGCTATTGGAATTTTAAAAATCATTTTATTGGGGGCTGGTACAATTCTTATTACAATCCATACATCCATCCATTGTGTCAAGCACAATACATTTGTTGGCATCATCATTCTTAAAACATTTGCTTTCTGCTTGAGCCCTTAATATCAACTCATTTCCTTCCTCCCAACCCCCTCCCCACTCCCTCATGAACCCTTGGTACTTTATAAATTATTATTATTTCATCATATCTTACACTGTTCCACGTCTCCCTTCACCCACTTTTCTGTTGTCCATACCCCAGGGAGGAGGTTATATGTAGACCCTTGTAATCGTTTCCCCCTTTCCACCCCACCTTCCCTCCACCCTCCAGGCATCACCACTCTCACCACTGGTCCTGAAGGGATCATCTGTCATGGGTTCCCTGTGTTTCCAGTTCCTATCTGTACCAGTGCACATCCTCTGGTCTAGCCAGATTTGTAAGGTATAACTGGGATCATGATAGTGGGGGGAGGAAGCATTTAAGAAGTAGAGGAAAGTTGTATGTTTCATTGTTGCTACCCTGCAACCTGACTGGCTTGTCTCCTCCCCGTAAGCCTTCTGTAAGGGGGTGTCCAGTTGCCTACAGATGGGCTTTGGGTCTCAACTCAGCACTCATCCTCATTTACAATGATATGGTTTTTTGTTCTTTGATGCCTGATACCTGATCCCTTCGGCACCTCGTGATCACACAGGTTGGTGTGCTTCTTCCATGTGGGCTTTGTTGCTTCTGAGCTGGATGGCCGCTTCTTTATCTTCAAGCCTTTAAGACCCCAGACGCTATATCTTTTGATAGGGGCACCATCAGGCTATTGGAATTTTTATCAGGACTGCATTGAGTCTATGATAGTAAATCTTCTATCTATGCACATGGAACATCTTTCTATCTACTTACATCTTTATCCTCTTTCAGCAGTGTTTTATCATTTTCACTGTTGAAATCCTTCCCATCCCAGTTAGGATTATTCCTAGGTATTTTATTTTCGTAGGTCCCACTGTGAATGGAATTGTGTTCCTAATTTCACGTTCAGATTTCTCATTGCTGGTGTATAGAACATCAGCTGATTTTTGTTTGTTGATTTTATTAATATTATTAATACACCTTTATTAAAGTCCCCTATTAGCTCTTAATGGCATAGTGGTTATGCTTTGGGCTGCTAACTACAAGTTGTGCAGTCCAAAATCACCAGCTGTCCATAGGAGAGAAATGCGGCTTTCTACTTCCCTACAGGATTACAGTCTCAGAAATCCATAGAGGCAGGTCTACCCGGCTCTGTAGGGCCACTATGAGTCAGGACAGACTGTAGA